CAATGTCATCTTATAAATGTGAAAGGAATGACAGAATTAGAAAATCACCACGTTCAGTCTCCAGGGTAATTAACAGTTTCAGGCAAGGATCATTAGTGGATGGTTTTGCCATTGGGTAAAGTGTTGCTGGAACTCTATGCACATGCTGTTAAAGGATCACTCTACAGATGTCTTTTTAATTACAAAGGGCAGTGGAGAGACCTGGGTGTGACCATCTTAACCAAGAAACCAAAGTTAACACCACTAACAAAGCAAAAGGCTGACAATATGCACCTACTGATAATGATGCAATAAGAAAGGCATAACATCACTTACATAGTACTTTTGCCAAAAATGGTTGCACTTGGCTGCTAACTGAAAGGTTGGTGGTTCAAACTCACTAGGTGCTCCACAGGAGAAAGATGTGGCAGTCTATTTCCATACCCTATGGGATAGTTCTACTTGGTTTAATAGGGTCTCTGTGAGTTGGAACTGACTAGATGGCAATGAATTTATCTCTAGTCATGAGAAAAGCTAATCAGAAAAATCCAAGATTGTGTGCTATTTCGCAAACAACTAGCCAGAATACTTAAAAAAAAAAAGAAGCAAAACAAACCCTTTATGTCATAAGACACACATACATCACAAAAAATCAAGATGATTGCTATGGATTAAAAGAGACTAAAGAGATAGGTAAACCAAAGTAATCTTTGATTGTATTCTGGGTCCAGGATACAATCCAGGATACAAAATTCATGTTAAATTTTCTTAGGTGTGATAACAGTATAGTAATTTATGTTAGTGACTGAATTACTAGGAGACACATGCTGAGGTAATTGAGGGTACAAAGTCATGATGTCTGCAACATACTTGGAAATGGTTCAGAGAGAAATTGAGATAATACAAAAATCATTTTTTAAAATGACAGAATATTAACAACTGGTGAATAAAGGTTAGTGCTTAGATATTAATTATTCTTTCCATTTTTTGTAAATTTCAAGATTTTCATAATTAAAAAAAATTAATCATATCCTTGGTGAAAATACTTCTAAAACACATCAGTCTATTTTCCTGTCTCTGTAATTTAATCTAATACTTATGATTCAGGGTCTTGCATTATTTCAGGGTCTGAAAACCACAAATTATAAAGATCCACAGGCATATCATGCTATAATAGGTTGAGTGAAACCTAACTGATTCTAATCATTAGGTGGTTTTCTTATCCATGTAAGTCCTAGAATAGATTATTGAAATTCTTTTTCTCCTAATAGTGAATGGCAAGGAGGAAAATGCCAGCTGAGACAGTTAATCAAATTCCAACCCATGCTGGCTTCTTCAGATCTAGTTGTGCACATCCCATAGAAATTTGTAGTTCTGAGGACAGTCCTAAGCAATGTTCCCTCTCCTTGCTTCTACCACTGTTCTGCTGAGGAAGCTGAGATTCTCGATGCAGCTACTTGCTATCAACTACATGTCCAAGATGCAGCCCAAATTCCTGACACCACTGAGCCGAAAAGGACTTCCTGGGTCTTCTCACAGAACAGGGGAAAATAAAGGGTCTCTTGGAGGTCCCTGCTACTGGTATCAATGCTGGGAGATTCCCTGAGAAAGGAAGCTAAGATCTATTTCCCAAGTTGCTCTAACTTTTTAAATACAAAAAAAAAAAAAAAAAAAAAAGAAGAAGAAGAAGAAGAAAAAAAACAGACTAAAGGCTGCAGACTAAAGGCTGTTAGATAGAAATGAATTCTTCCATGATTGCTATCTCCATTCAAACCAGTTTATTATAGGGTGATTTAATAATTATTTTGAAGGAATAGTGGTAGTGGAATGGTTAAGGCTCAGCTACTGAGAGGTTGGTGGTTCAAACCCACCCAGTAGCTCTACAGGAGAACAACCTGGAAATCTGCTCACGTAAAGATTTACAGCTTAGAAAACTCTATAGGGCACTTCTACTCTGTCCTATAGGGTTGTTATGAGTCAAAATCTACTCAACAGCACCTAACAACAATAATTACTTTACTGGGAGGGTTGATGAAACTGGGCCCTGTGGATCCCTACAAATAGCCCCACCCTTGAGGCAGGGCTGAGAACCAAACTGGTCTCTCTGAACAGGAGATAAAACAATGGGCCAGGGTACTGTGCTGGGCAGCAATAAAGCTGAGGGACAGTGGTTTAATTAAAATGCCTCAGGAGATTTGGAGGTCCCTAATTTTCTGAAATTCCTAGTTTCAGACAAACTGTCCATAGTATTTAGTTCTCTCCTGACTTGCCACAATGTTTTTGATCTAGCACATTATGTAAACCTGGAACTTTGTGTAGTGTTTTAGAATATCATAGTTTAGCATTCCCGATACATCAGGGTTGAGGTCATCAGAGTATACATGACAAACAGTCTTGCAGAATAAACTAAATTATCTTTATTTCCATTAGGAATGAAACAAAGACGGGAATCAACAAGTGAGAAAATCAACCAAATGATGTGTTCATTCTGGAATGAATAAATACAGATAATTAATAATTTATACATTCTGACTAATAGCCATATAAAATGCTATAAAATCTCTCAGAAATGTTATGAATGTTCTATTTTAATCAATATATTTTAATTTGAATAATCAAGGTCCTAAATAATTTGAGGAATATGAGGGAGAAACCTTCATACTAAAACCTTCAACACCACCAGCTCATAATCTGAACTCTCTCATGTCCCAAGTATTACCTGAAGGACCTTGCTTCTTGAAGGTGGATGCTTCAAAGGAAAGAATTTCCTCTGCAAATC